ATATGTATATATATGGCCCTTCCCTCAGGAGTTTAAGGATAGCCTACAGTAGTTTCTTACTACTGCTCCAAATTTATTTCCAACAACTCTGCTGTATAAAATCATAAAATGAAGCCTCAGAAATATTTCTCCTATTTTCCCCCTGAACTGTTATAGACTAAAGTGCTACTTCGTGGAAAATTATCAAGTGACAGACAACTAGAAGCAGAGGGTAGCTGAAGAAATCATAAACTGCAAAATCAGCCTTGAGTAACAGGGAATTGACTTACTTGTTACTGTTGATATACATTTATTCCACTTACACTGTATTTAGTAGAATTCAGCATATGTGTATGTGTGTTATGCATACACATATATATGCATTTGGAAAGTAAAGTATAATGTTAATATTTTAAAAATGGAAATTTAGTTTTAAAATTTAGTATTAACTCTAAACATGAAATATATTGCACACTAGTCTATATTGCAAAAAATTTAATAGGTGAGCAGTCTTCCTAGTATTTTTCTCCTGAGGTCAGAAAAATTCATACCGTGTCTGTTTTTCTTCTCAGGAACAACTCTAGGTCCTCTCATGGAAACTCTAACTATAGGTCAATTTCTTAATTCTGTGATTTTATATGTGAAAGAAAAATATCAAACAGTATAAATTATTAATCACTTCTGGGTTTTTAAAAAGAATTTATAGGAAGAGTTTAGCTTTTAAAAAATAATTTCAAACAAGTTGTTAACTAGGCTTTTCCAACTGGTTTTAAACTGTTTTCCAACTGAATTTGACTTGTTTTTGACCAGTTTTATTGGCTGATTACAGTATGGTTTTTAGTTGCATTTCATTTCTTATCATTAACTATTAATATACCATCTACAAAGTAGTACTACATGATATAAAGCTCAATTTATTGAGAAAACGAATATTGGTTGAGAGAAAACAAAACATGTATATAAATAGCAGTTAACTATTACACACACACACCCATACACACACACATATATATGCAGTGGTTTAAGCACTCAGCTGCTAACCAAAAGGTCATCACCACCAGCTGCTCTGTAGAAGAAAGATGTATTTTTCTGCTTCCGTAAATATTACTACCTTGGAAACTCTATGAAGGCAATTCTACTCTGTCCTGTAGGGTTGCTATGAGTCGGAATTGACTCAATGGCAATGAGTTTAAATATATATATATAGCAATTAGATAATTCATGATAATATTTCATTGTTGTTACTATGAACCCTGAGTAACAGTATAATCAGGGCATAAATTCTGTAGATTTTAAAGCAAAGTTGTTGAGACAAATGTACTAAGACCTACTTTGACCCAGTTCAAGATGCAGAGAACTAGTCTTTGTAAATAAAATAGCATGAACTAAACTAAAATTTTAGAGGAAAATACTATTAGAACAAGATCCATGGGAACTTTTCTATGGTAGGAAATCACTGAACAGTCAAATCACCCATTGAAAATAAAGTCCAAGTATACTTCAGATGAGAAGCTCATTTTGTGTTTTTTTTTAGGTGTTACTACGCCTCCGGCTCCTTTCACCACAGTAGCTGGAAGCACAGGCACAACAGGAACGGGGGGCATCCCCTTCACCAGTCCTGGGGGCATATCAGGTAAATGAAGTTCAGACACAAAGTCTAGTAGTCACAGCTAAGCAACTGATTTTCAAGCAATGCTGCTCAGACAGTATTTTTTCACCCAAAACAGCTGACTTAGGTAATTATTCGTAATAAGTGACTAAAATATAATGTCTTTAGTGTTTTCACAAGTTGCTTTCTTAAAATATATCATGTCGCAACAATTATGTACATAGATGACCTTTGTAGTTAATAGGGCCTAGGCATTTTTCTGGCATGCATTTTTTCCTTACCTTCATCAGGGACAACTGAGGTATCAGCAGGTACAACCACAGGAGCTGAAGATGGAAGCACAGG